AGAAGGTAGAATAAACTATAATATACTAAGAAGTGTTTAAGAAATTTTATAAATTATAAATACAAAATCAATTTAAATGCATAACAACCATTAGATGGTAGAATATTCTACAAATCAAAGCATATTTTAGATATATTCCACTCTGTTTACAGGTTTTTCTTAAGCAAACCAAAAAACAATGCACTCTTATTTATAGGCACTTTCCCTCTATATTAAACTTCATTAAAGTCACTTTTTTTACTTGTTGATAGGTCACTTCCAAAAACTCCACTGATATGTACAACTTGAAACTCAAAACAAAGAGGTCTACTTTACACTCTTTTAGCACTGATTATATTGATTAATATTTAGGTTATAGAAGTGGAGACTGAAGCCATATTGAGGTGATGGTGAATCCGCTTGTCTCCGTTGGCTGCCTCCCAGAGTTTAACAGGGTTGAAGCTCACCATGTTGTTCCAGGGGTCAAGCAAGTTGTCAAGGAACTGGTACGTGTAGATTTTATGATAAAAAATTGTCATTGTCCTCCAGGAAGAGGATTTGCTTGAGCTGGAGTGCTTTGCCGCCTCAAGTTTTGGAGAGAATGGTGGCGATCTGTGGGAGGCGCTCGTCCATCCCTTCGAACGCATTCTTGATCGCTTGACTGTGGTATGGGGGATTGTTTCACATCTCAAGGATGTCAAGGATTCCGACGCTCTTCGAGCTGCTGTGGACGAAGCACAAGTAACTTTGTGCAGCCCTTGAGAACGAACTTTTTGTTGAGATTAGGACAGAGCAAGGCTTTGTATCAGGCGTTTGAGAAGATCCGCAATGGTGCCTTGTTCGATACACTGAACGAAGCTCAGCAACGAGTTGTAGAAGGTATGTGAGCGCTTCATTTGATCTCTTGTGGAGTTCTCTCTCTTTTGTTTTCTTCAGGACGTTTGACAGATGCCATACTAAATGGAGTGGCATTAGAACATGAGAAGAAAGTACATTTTAATGAGATCCAACAGGTATATATATGTGTTTGTTCTTGGCTAACATTTCAAAGTTTTGCAGGAGCTATCATAGGTATTGTACATTCATCACATCCAAGATTCAATGAAATTTAACATCACGAATTAAACATACCTAGATAATATTGAGGCGCCCAAAGCTGGCGCTGGCGGCATCACTCTTCATCACACAATGCAATACTGGTACGTGAAGTTAACACGAAGAATCATAGTCCCGAGTGATCAATCGAAACTCTGATCGCAGGTGTCTGGACCGAGCAGCCACAATCGTCAACGGAGAGCACCACGGCTCCGAAAAGATCAATCCGTGGAGGCTACGCCCGGTGAGCCATGTAGAGGAGCTCAAATTGCTGCTGCGAATGACGCCCGTGTGGGCGACGGGCATCCCGATCTTCGTGGCGTGGTCGCAGCAGAGCACGTTTTGGATCGGGCAGGGCTACGTTATGGATCTCCGCATGGGATCCTCCCCGCACGCTTTCAAGATGCAGCCCGTGACGCTCCCGGTCTTCTCCCTCCTCACCATGATGATCTTCCTCCCCTTCTACGACAAGCTCGTCGTCCCGCTGGCCGCCAAGGTCACCAGGAACCCGCGCGGCATCACCTTCCTCCAGAGGATTGGCGTGGGGATCACCTTCGCCGCCTCGGCGATGCTGGTGGCGGGCGCGGTGGAGGTGAAGCGGCGGCGCCTCGGATTCGCCCACCCCCTCTCGTGCTTCTGGCTGGGCCCCCAGTTCTGCCTGCTGGGCCTCTCCGAGGCCTTCGTCACCATCGGCTACCTCGAGTTCTTCTACGATCAATCGCCGCCCAGCATGAGGAGCATGGCGGCGGCGGTGGTGTGGGCGATCATCGGCACTGGCAACTACGTCAGCACCGCCATCGTGGCGCTCATCAAGCGGTCAACGAGGACCCCGACCAGCGACCAGGGCTGGCTCTCGATGACCGGGAACCTCGAGTACTTCTACTGGGTGCTGGCGGGCTGCCTGGCCGTCGATTTCGTGGCTCACCTTCTTGTCTCTACGTTCTACACGTACACAAAGCCGGACTACGCCGACGACGGCGATCAAGTTCCCATTGCGATGATTTAGAATATATCATATTACATTGGTCTTTAATAGATGACTATACATTTCAAGTTTGCTCCACCTTTTTCAAAACCTTCCCATTTTCCTCGGGCACGTCGTTCCAGCGCTTGTACCTATACCACCTTGCCACCACCATGTAGACGCCGAGATTGACGGTCAGGATCCCCGCCAGCATCCAGTAGAACAAATCCAGCCGTCCGCGGTTGATGTTATCGGGCACCCAGTTGGTCCTGGCGTGCACGGCGCTCACCATCGCGGTGCTACAATAGTTACCACCGCCAATCACCATCCAAAACACCGCCGTGGCCATGCTTCGCATGCTCTCGGGCGACTGATCGTAGAAGAACTCGATCTGGCCGATGGAGAGGAAGAGCTCCGTCACCCCAATGAGCACGTACTGCGGGAGCAGCCAGAAGATCGAGATGGGGATGGTCCGGTCGGGGGAGTCGAGCAGCCCCGCGGCGGCGGCGGCGCTGCGCCGCTTCACCTCGGTGGCGGCGGCGGCCACCATGACGAGGATGGAGACGACGAGGCCGATGGCCATCCTCTGGAGGGAGGTGAGGCCGCGGGGGTGGCCCGTGATCCGGCGCAGCACTGGGATCCCCAGCTTGTCGTAGACCGGGATGAGGACGAGCAGCGCGAGAGTGGTGAATGCCGTCATCGATCCGGGCGGGATCTCGAAGGAGCTGGAGGCGACGAGGCGGCGGTCCATTGTCCGGCCCTGCTGGACCCAGAAGGTGCCCTGCTGCGCCCACGCCGTGTAGACGAGCACGCCCGTGCATAGGACGGGTAGCAGCCGGAGCAGCAGCTTGAGCTCCTCCACGCTGTGGACGCTGCTCACCTTCCAGGGGTTCACATCGCTGCCGCTGCGCCGCTGGTCATCGTCTGTTACGATCGCAGCTTTGTCCAGGAATCTGGCAGAGCGCAGGATATGGAAATGTGAATCTCTCAAGAACCCTAATCTTGGAAAACCCTAAAAGCGAAGGGGAGAGAGACCTAAAAACAGAGGTACGGGTAATATCACCTGAATTGATCCGTGTGGAGCAGCCGCGTGGGCGAGTGGAGCTTGTCCTTGGCCCCAAACAGCTCCATCGGATCGTTCGGCAGCTCTAGCTTGCGCTTCTTCACGGCGGCGGCCATGACCTGGAAGAGCCTGGTGATGGGGCTGCCGGTGGGGCGGGCGATCCGGTAGATGGGCGTGCCGGCCACGAAGCTGATGACGGACAGCGCCATGAGCACGGCGGGGAGGCCGAATCCGACGGCCCAGCCGACGTTGTCTTGGATCCACACGAACACGGTGGAGGTGATGAGCGTGGCGAGCTGGAGTGTGAAGTAGTACCAGTTGAAGAAGTGGAGGATCTGGGTGCGCTGCTTGGGATCCTCCTCGTTGAATTGGTCCGCCCCAAATGCAACGACGCATGGCCGGATCCCGCCCGAGCCCGCGGCCTGCAAAACGAAGGAGAGGTACAGGAATCCCAGCTGACCCACTGTCGAGCGCTCGCACAGCGATGATTTCGCCGCGCATTGGTCGGGTCTCAGGCTGGGAACCAGGGCTTGGATCGTGAGAACGAAGGATCCCTGCCAAGCCACCAGGCAAATCAGTGCTCCACAGTTGAGATTGATCCTTTCTAGGCTTCTAGTATCTGATTCTCTTGTTCTTTCTCTGGTTTTCTTCTCTTCTTCTTTGACTTATCCTCGATCTTACAATGATTATATCTAATCGATCATTCCCCTCGGGAGAAGGCTCTATCTATCCAAACTTTTGGCTAGATGGAGGGATGGATGGTTTCTTACTAGTGTGAAGAGGATAGAGCCCAAGAGCACCACCCAGTAGCGACCAACATACGCATCAGCGATGATGGCACCGACAAAGGGTGTGAAGGCTGCGGTCCCGCTGAAAGTGGTGAGGGTGTTGGACGCATCGGCCGGCTTGAAATGGAGCTGCTGGACGAGGTATGTCACCAGATTCACTTGCAGTCCAATGACTCCCAGCTTCTCAGTCGCCTCGTTCCCTGCAAGTCAAGCAGCAAAGCGAGATGACGATCTTCTAGATCCTTGCAGAATTCTCGAGGGAGAGAGTTATACCAAAGATGAAAGGACTTGTCTTCCAGCCTCCTTTCACGATTCGGCGGCCTCGCCAAGTCGTGCTCCACTCAGGATCCTCGGCTCGCTGGGCTCCCTCGGCTCCTGCCTCGAGATTCATGCTGGATTTGTGTAACTCGACAGCGTGCTCCTCCTGCCAAAACAAGACACGGCCCATGCATCACAAAAACGATCCGGAATCAAAGCCAGGTTTTGCGAAAAGGTATCCAATCACTCAACCGACCATGTATGGAGATGGCGATTCTTTTCGTGTAGCGCGGAGAGATCAAACACGAAGAAGAACAAGTTTGAGATGCATTTTATAACCATGATCCGCATCAATGACGGGCCTGCAAAGATAGGGTCCGACCGCTCTTGTCTCGTCCGCAAGACTTCTTCCATCGAAAGAAACATGTCTACGAAATTTGCTTTCGGGGAGCCCGTGGATATACAAAGGGACAAAAGGTTGACGGGCTGGCGCATGGCATTGAAGACACCAAATTGAAGCAAACTACACAACAGCATGATCTTTGCTCAGAATCAAACCGACCGCTTTTCCACTGCCACTGATTGGCACTGAGAGTTTTTCAATTGTAAAAGTTGTTCAGTGCTTGCTGAAAGATCTTGACAAGCATTACGTTAAATCCCTGATGCGATAACGAAAGAACTTAGATATGTTCATTTTTTTGCCAGAAAATAAACATTCAAACTAATCATTGAAGTCAATTAGTTGATTCCTGACGATCCAAGTTCAATTTGGCGGCATTGATTGTCTTAAGCAAAGAAGTTCTCTAGAAAACAGTTTCCAGGTTTCTAGGAAAGTCCAGGTGGTCCCGAAAAATACGTCTTTATTATTATCTGATGCAATGGGCATTTCATGGAGGGCATTGGCAACGCAGTGTGGACGGGCGCGCTGCTCGTGTTGCTAGCACTGGTTGCGAAGCTATGGCGATCGATCGTCACCAGGTTCTGGCTGGAGCCAAGATCGCTCGACGCAAGGATTCGAAGCCAGGGTATCCAGGGGCCGCCAAGGACTTTCATCGCAGGCAACATGCTCCAGGTGATGACGATGAGAGACACTGGCAAGGAGCGGGACATGGAAGGACGACGTTGTGAAGCATGTGTTGCTGGATTACCACCAGTGGTAATATGGTAACTTCTCCTCGTAAATTCCTGTACTCTGGACGACTTCTTCGCAGGAAAGAGGTATTGCTACTGGTGGGCGACGGAGCCCAGGATCAAGCCCGAGCTCATCAGAGAAGTTCTATGCCGGAGAGCGATACAATGTCATGGAATGTGATATGCCCGGCGGCGGAGGAGGCCAAAGCTCTATACGAGAGAATACCCGAGAAAGACCTCGTCTCGTCCACCTCGATGCTCCAATCTCTCGCCCACGAGCATCGAGTTCCAGGCTACCACATCGAGCTCCGGCATGCGCAGAAAGAACTTCCACGCGTATTCACACGCTCCAAGCAAGAACGTCGTGCTGGATCATCCCTTCAAACATCTCTCGTGCTTCTACCTTTCTCGAGGCGAGGATGAAAGCTTGTAGCATTGAGTTGGAGCTGCTCAAACAGCTCCCTCGATTCCTCCAAGAGCCCCATCTCCGAGCAAGCCCCATTCTCCGAGCAAGGAATCATGGCATTCCAAACAACGATGCTTCGCCGTGGCATTGTGGTGAGATATGCCTGGCCTTGTGGATTTGCCCGGTCTGGTGCATACGCAGCGATCATCATGGTGTAGGAGGCCTCGTCGTGATCAGGCATGAAATTCCGGAAGAATGCCACTGCCTCTTCGATCCTGCGACGTAAAACGTACCCTTTTGGAGCATCGAATTCCATTCTGTTGTGTCCCAGCGCATTGCTTGCAATTGCCAGATTCATACGCCTGGTTCAAAATCGTCCATGCGACGGCATTGTGCTCAGCCATCACCGAATCGAAGATCCTTCGCGCGTCGGCCACAAACCTTGCCTGCGCTAGAGCATGAAGCGAGAGACGACATTCCATTCCGGAATCCCGTGCAGGAAGAGATCCATCGCGGCCGTCCGCGCGTATCCATCGATCATCACCGTCCACGTGGCGAGAGAAGAGCGTTTGCTGGAGCAGGCGGCCATGGAACTCTTCTCCGGCATTGGCATCGAAAATCTCTTAGTGCCCGTTTTGGGCATAGGCCTGGATCATCGCGTTCCATGTTACGGCATTCTTCCGAGGCATCCATTGGAAGATCCCTCGCGCCTCTCGCAACGCGCTCTGCCCCAATCCAGTGATCATCGTCGTCATTCTTGGTAGCTTCCTCGCGTCGGCGATTTGGCTGTGCTGGGCATACGTCGTGATCATCGAGTTCTCTTTCCTTGCATCGAGTCGAAGATCTGGCGAGCGGACTGGATGTCGCCATTCTGTGCGTATGCCGAGAGGAGGATGTCGCGAGAAAATAGATTGAGCTGCTTGATCTGATCGAAAACCAGGCGAGCTTCACGCAATCTCCCACACGTCCCATACATTTGTATGAGGAGATTCGCAAGAAAAGTGTTCTGCTTGCTGTGGCGGATCCGACTAGCCTGAGCTTGTCGGCCTCTGTTAAAAGCGTTGCTCTTGGTGGTCTTGCTGCTCTTGGCAGTCGAGAGGACCAAAAGCCGAGTAGATCTTCTTGTTGCTAAGTGGACGTCGAACAAGTGTTGGTTCTTCTCGGCCTGCGCTTTGAAATTCTGGCCGTGTCTGCTTTAGCAGTTCCCCAGGACTCCTGCTCCTCCTGCTTGATGTTTCGCTGCATTTCCTACGCAACGACCATTTCACTGGACAATTCAGCTTGTGACGCTAGGAGGTTCGCGGCGGTTCTTCGATTTTGCAGCAGAACCAGGGATCTGCCGCGGGGAAAAGAGATTTACGGTCAGGCGACTGTGCAGCGAGCAGCTATCTCGCGAATTTGGCAATCCGGAGCCTGCAAGAAGCAAGAGAGATTTTCTATCGCATGGGCTCTGCGAGGAATCGCTTCTCTTGGGACAATATGATCGCTGCTTATGCCCAAAATGATGCAATGCCAGAAAAGAACTGAGTTTCATGGACGGCTATCCATGCCCAATGCGGGCATTTGCTAAAAGCAACCTAATAACATTTTCCCCTGGAATTCAATGATCCAAGCGTACGGACAGAGAGGGCATCTCCAGGAATTTCGTGACATTTGTGAAAGAATGTTTGACCACGACATTGTGACGTGGCATTGTGTCTACACCTCATTCAAGCCGACACACCATGCTGGAGGGAAATGAGATATCTTGAACGATCACAACCGTCACCCATATGCAAATCTGGCAGCTCCAGAATGTGAAGTCTGTCTTCTAAAGGGTGCCAGAATGGAATGTGTTATGGATGGATATGGATTAAATGGTAGAATAAATTAAAATATACTAAGAAGTGTTTAAGGAAGTTTTAATCTAAATGAATAAGAACCAATAGATAGTAGAATATCCTATAATATCAAAGCATATTTTAAGTATATTCACTGCCACCCGAGAAAACCAAAAAAGATGCACTCTTATTTATAGACACTTTTTTTATATTTAAATCTCATTAGAAGTCATTTTTTGATTTGCTTAAGCAAACCTGTAAGGACACTGTAACTTGTATTGGATTAATAAGTAAAAATTGGTATGCATTGCATGTAGCAATGCTTAGTTTGCTTATAAGTAGTGTTATTCTTACTTATTAGTTCATTTGATCAAATAAAATTTATAATTATAAGCATGTTTGTAATTTATCATAAGATTAATCTTATTGCATATCAACCATTAAAAGATAGAATAGAAAAGAATATACTAAAAAAGGTTTTAAAAAGTTTATAAATTATAATCATGTTTATAAATTATAAATACAAGATTAATCTAAATGAATAACAACAATTAGATGGTAGAATATCCTAGAATATTTAAGCATATCCTAGGTATATTCAATACTATCTCTAAAGGTTTGCTTAAGCAAACCAAAAATAACACTACCATTGCTATATGCAAGGCATAACAATTTATTTTAATTGTTGAGATATGTAAAACTTGATTAAGCTTTTTTTTTCTCTAAATTTTTCCTCAAAAAAAAGAGGTCTACTTTACACTCATTTAAGCTTGTCTATCACTAATTATATTGATTAATATTTAGGTTATAGAAGTGGAGACTGAAGCCATATTGAGGTGATGATGAATCCGCTTGTCTCCGTTGGCTGCCTCCCAGAGTTTAACAGGGTTGAAGCTCACCATGTTGTTCCAGGGGTCAAGCAAGTTGTCAAGGAACTGGTACGTGTAGATTTTATGATAAAAATTTGTCATTGTGGTGTTTATTTCTTCCTCCAGGAAAAGGATTTGCTTCAGCTGGAGTGCTTTGCTGCCTCAAGTTTTGGAGAGAATGGTGGCGATCTGTGGGAGGCGCTCGTCCATCCCTTCGAACGCATTCTTGATCGCTTGACTGTGGTATGGGGGATTGTTTCGCATCTCAAGGATGTCAAGGATTCCGACGCTCTTCGAGCTGCTGTGGACGAAGCACAAGTAACTTTACTTGTTCTTTCTCCTGAATTTTAGGACTGTTGTGCAGCCCTTGAGAACGAACTTTTTGTTGAGATTAGGACAGAGCAAGGCTTTGTATCAGGCGTTTGAGAAGATCTGCAATGGTGCCTTGTTCGATACACTGAACGAAGCTCAGCAACGAGTTGTAGAAGGTATGTGAGCGCTTCATTTGATCTCTTGTGGAGTTCTCTCTCTTTTGTTTTCTTCAGGACGTTTGAAAGATGCCATACTAAATGGAGTGGCACTAGAACATGAGAAGAAAGTGCATTTTAATGAGATCCAACAGGTATATATATGTGTTTGTTCTTGGCTAACATTTCAAAGTTTTGCAGGAGCTGGAGAAATTACTGAACAAATTCAGTGAAAATGTGCTGGACTCCACCAAGTTGTTTGGGAAGCTGGTGACTGATATTTCTGTTCTTGAAGGCTTGCCGGAAACGGCTCTTGCTCTTGCTGCACAAGCCGCAGTATCCAACGTAAGATCCTTAAGTTCGCTATTGATAATGCTTTGGTCATGCTGTATTTTTTGCAGGGATATGAAGGCGCCAATGCGAAGAGTGGACCGTGGCTGATAACTCTGGACAGTTCCATGTACTCGGCAGTGATGAGATTTGCGAGAAACCGTGACCTTCGCGAGGAAGTATATCGCGCAGACGTCACAGTGGCCTCCGGAGAGAGTTTTGATAACTTCCCTGTAATTACAAGAATTCTCGAGCTTCGCCAGCAGAAAGCGGAATTGTTAGGATACGAAAACCATGCTCAGGTAATATTACCTATACATAGAGTCTAAAAAGTTCTTTTTAGTACAGGTGAGTATGCTTCAAAAGATGGCCACACTGGATTCTTGTCATGCACTTCTCGAAAAACTGCATAGTTGTTCACGAGATGCTGCTATTCGAGGTCTATGTTCTCTCTGCTATCAAAGCTTATTGCAAGTGTTTTCTTTTTCGTTGATCTTCGTTTTAGACATGCGGGAGCTTGAGGAATTTGTGAGAAGTGAAAACTCAGAAGAAGATGAGAATTTGTTCCACTGGGACATTCCATATTGGACGGAGCGCTTCAGGGAGGCCAAGCTTGACATGAATGATGCAAGTTTTCCTTCCAAGGCTTGGTCATATTTACTCACTTTATTTTGGAATTCTTAGGAGGAACTCAGGCCGTATTTCTCCATGCCTAATGTCATGGATGGCCTGTTCAGCCTTGCGAAGCGCTTGTTTGGCGTCCACATTGAAGAGTTGGAAGAAAATACACCAGTAAGCGTGCATGCGAAAACTATGATCCATCTATCTCAATCTGAATAACAGGTCTGGGACAAAGAAGTTAAGCTTTACAAGGTGGCAGAATGCGCCAGTGGAGAAAATCTGGGATACTTTTACCTGGACCCATTCTCGAGGCCGCACCAGAAGAGAAGTGGAAATTGGATGGGCGTAGTCTTTAACAGAAGCCATGCAGCTGTGCAAAAAGGTGGCGTTGTGCGATTGCCTGTCGCTCATATTGTCTGCAACCAGGCACCACCATTACCCGATCAGCCAAGCTTGATGACGTTCTATGAGGTAGTAGCAGTAGGCTTTTTTATATTCATGATCTTATGGGTAGCGCTGACAAGTTTGACGGAGCACTTATGATTGAAACTTTGCAGGTGACAATGCTGTTTCATGAGTTCGGGCATGCTTTGCAGCACCTTTTGAGCAAACAGGACGAGGGTCTTGTGGCTGGATCCGAAGGAATAGAGTGGGATGCAGTTGAGATTCCCTCCCAGTTTATGGAGAACTGGTGCTATGACAGGTCTGATTCGATTGTAAGAAACTAGTCTTCAACTAATCTCGTGATCGCAGGAACACTTTGATGAGCTTTGCAGTGCACTATAGAACTGGCCAAGGGCTCCCAGAGGCGCTATATACGAAACTCAAGTCGTCAAGAACGTTTTTCTCGGCTTCAAACGTTCTTTATCTGGTAAGCCGAATGAAGAAAAGTTTTCTTGGAATAATTTCTCGTTTTTGAATGCACACAGGTTTCCCGATCTCTGATTGATCTCAAGCTGCATGCAAAGCTCGAAGCCGTGAATTCGAAAGAGATTTACAACTTGTGCAACAAGGTTGCAGGGGAGATATTGATATTACCCCCTTTGCCTGAAGACAAGTCCATCTGCAAATTCCTCCACTTATTCGCCAGTATGTGTTTTTCCTCTATTTCTAATCTCTCCTGTATTTTTTCTCTTGTTGGTTGTCATTCTTGTAGCAACTGAGTATGCAGCTGGTTACTATAGCTACCTGGTAAGCTGGCCTCAGAAAACATATCCTGACACTCAAAAAGAATCTTGGTATGATTCTGTGCAGTGGTCCGAGGTTCTGTCATCAGATGCTTTTGGAGCGTTTGAAGAAGCAGGCCTTGAAAATGAAACTGTGAGTGAAAACAATCAGGTGTGGGAAGCAATTGTTTCACTTTTGTATGTTTCACAGGCTGTTAAGGAGGCAGGAAAATTATTTAAGCAGACAATTCTTGAGCTTGGTGGAGGCAGAGCGCCTGCTAAAGTAAAACTTTTGATAAATTTACACGAAACTCACGACGAGCTCTGCAGGTTTTTGAAGATTTCCGTGGAAGAGGCCCCAGCATAAATGCTCTTCTCAGGCATAGAGGTCTCGTGGTATAAATGTTGGCTGCTTATCTAATAACATAATCACTAAAAAAACCATGACTTCGAAAACAAAATGCTCGTGAGGAGCTAGCAATGGAGGACGACGTCCGCGAGTAAACACTGGAATTTCACGGTACACTCCTGCTCCGATCTTAATAAGATGGTTACTCCGTTGACGCTGTGCAGAGAAAGCCCGATCGCATCAGAGCCGAGGCCGCCGAGTACCGAAAGCTGCTACCTCTTGGCCTCAAGGAGCAGTGATAGCGGTGGGCGTCTCGTTCTCGGTCGCCTCCACTTGAATACAGGCTAAAGTTCATGAAGAAGCTGGAGCCAGACTACGCGCGGACGTAAGCTTCGGGGGCGACTCTTTTCCTTGGGTGAGGACTTATGACAGAAGCAAAGTGAAGAGAAACGCTGCAGGAGCAAAAATTCTCGAGCGAGTGATATTGGCATGAAGACTTAGATGGAACAACCGATCAGAGAGAGCCGGATCGCTCAT